CTGGAAATCCAACAGACCGGCGCGGTCCCTTGCACTATCTGTCGGATAGGGTTGTCCTGCGCGCGCTGCGGCAAGGTAGCCCACCCCCCCAGGGCCTTCCACAGACTGATCCTGGCGCCCCAGAGCCTGGTCGCACGATTGATGGTGGCTCCGAACGTACAGTGGTAGATGAGGTCATGCATTGGGTCGCGGTGAGCCAGCAAGAAGGCGGTCGCGCCCCCGTGTTTCTCACCTCCTGCGGGGGCTCTTGCCACGCTGCGACAATATCTAGGCGCCGAGTCGGGAGCTTAGCGAAAAGCCCGCCATGTCGGGCGACAGGCGGAGCACCAGTGCGTCGTGCAAAAAAAATTGCGCCCTCTGGCGCTGCGCAGCGCCATGAACTTACGCCGACTGGTCGCAATGCCTGTCAGCTGTAGCCTGAATACCCTGTGCCCCACGGCCGAGCGTCAACTGGCAGTCACATTGTAAGAACAAAAATCTGCCTTTCAACGAGCCTGCAACGGCGCCTGACTTCTGAAGCTGCTGCCGCAGCTCTGCAACTGCCGAGGCGAAGCCGAAATAACATGCAACGGAACATCGCCCACCAGTTGACGAGGACCGATGCAAGTCGACATGTTATTCAGGCGCTTGCGCGCCCAATGGGCGAACGAAAACAACGCGTCAGACGCGTGGCTGCGTCCGGCTGAACTTCCCCGCGGGGGCTCGAAAGGCTTGGAGGGCCCACCGGGGGCCGTGACTTCCACGGGCCGCCAGTGGATGGGCGAACTTCCAGAGCAACATCGGACAACATCGCAATGACGATAGCCATTTTCATGAGCTGCGCTAGTTTGATCACCCTGAAGCATTCGGCTTCGTCGAGCAAGACTGAGACATACGTCCCCCCGCGGATGGTGGCGAGCCCGCCGTTGAGCTCGTGGTCGACGGCGCCGTCAGTGGAGCTTCGCCGATTTCGCGCGCCTTAGATCTCCAGGCGCGCGCGCAGCCTCTGCCATTCGCGCGCGATGGGCTTCCCCGCCCAAACCGCGCGCGGCAGAGGCCTTGGATCAGCGCGGTTCGCCTGCAACTTCCCCCGGACGCGGCCGAGCAAACCATCTCCGTCTAGACCATGTCGCTCGGCCAAGCCAGTCGAGCCCCGCGGGCGCCGACCAAACGAGCTGAGTCTGTCGAGGCCCCGTCGGACAGATGCCGCGGAGCCCGAGGGGCGACCCGGGGCGGCCCAGTGATTTCGCGGACCTCCTCGGCCGCGAGGGCGGGCAGGTCAGGTCAACAGCGGGCCTCGACAGGTAGCGGCATCCTGGAACCTGCGCGAGCGGTCCAGATGTCAGCCCAGAGCAGCATTCGAGGTCGACCAGAGCATGGGTTTGGACAGTTGTCCGCAGAAATGGTGCGCCGGGCAGCTCTGATCATATTAAACCAGTGGGCTTCCGACGCGCCATCTTGACTGACGCAGGCGCGATTCGCCACAGCTTCGGCGAACTGGTATTTGACCCTTGGCGGCGACATGTGCGCGCGCGGTCCTACCGGCGAAATCAGAGCGCTCGAACGCGGCAGACCCACTGCGAACGACATCAGCAGACTCCCAGTTCAACTGTTCGGACTGCTTGTTTTGGGCGGCCACGAATGTTGGCCATGGAGATGGCCGCCTCAGCGAACGCGCGTGATATTTTGCGATCCCGACCTGGCGCGAGCTCGCACGCTGCGCGCTGTGCAAGAGCAATCGGGCTCCACCACTTGATTGGTCAGATGCTTCTTGGCCTTGCCCGCGCCCTCGGCCCACCCGAGGGCTGCGGCGGCCCCGCTCGCCCGCAGAAAACACGGGGCCGCCGGGCCCGACGCGGCCCTGGCGAGCGGCCAACTCAGACGCCGCACTTTCGACGAACGCGCCCCGTAAGTTCCCCGGGGCCCTTCTGGCCCCAGCCTTGCGGCTGGCGAACGACTGCGCGGCCCTCCGCGGGCAGGGGGGCGGCCGATCGCGTCCGAAGGAAGGGGCTGCGACGCGTGGCTTGAGCCCTTCGGGAACGCTCAACCCGCGCCCGGGGTCTCCCGCGCCTACGTCGCGAGGGAGATAGGGGGGCGAGGATGCGCGGGGGCCGCCTAACCAACGCGAGCTACTCGGCCACTCCTGGGGGCCAGCTCGCTGCTAGCCTGCCTCAGGATCACGAGGCGCGCCCGGGCCAGACGGGCAGCGGGCGGCGGGCTGAAGAACGAAGGCGACAACGCTGACCTTCTCGACCCACCCGGGCTGGTCGAGGACACCGAGTTCCGCGTTCCAATCGGCGCGTGTGATCCAGGGGAGCTGCGCGGCATTGCGTCTGCGTGCGTACTCGACGATAGCTCAAATTCGCTAACGACCGTCAGCCCCCCCTCCCCGCGTCTGCCGCGCGCGTGCGATCGCCGCCCTGCCAGGCGTGCCAGATTGCCAGATTTCGCGCGAAAAGCGACGGCCCCTGCGCGAGGTAGAAAGACCACCAGCAGCAGCGTGTTCTTTCTGGAGATGCGT